CTCAATAACTTTATATTAAATGTGAATTTTATAAATTCAACCGTTAGATTGAAAGCTTTTTACTCTTAGATCATATATACAAAATTTTATATAAATTCAAGATGATTTGATACTTCATTCTTGTAAAACAAAATTGACGTAATATATATATTTCAAATAAAATATGAGTACTTTGATTACTTTCAAGTTGTTGTTCAATTTTAACAAAACTTGATATAAACATATAAAGTGATATGAACTTTCAATCTAACGGTTGAATTTACAAAATTCACATTTAATATAAAGTTATTGAGTGGTGTAATACTTAGTAAAAGTTATACAGTGTTATTATAACCCTTCTCATTTTAAAATATATAAATTATTACTTAAACTTTTAAATTTATAATAAATAATTTAAATTGAATCATAAAATTAATTTTAAATAGAAATAAGTAGATTGTTAATTATAAAAGTAAGTATATATATAAATAAAGATTAATTAAATATAATATAATAATTATTATTAGTAATATAATTATTATATATTTATAACGGTCCGGATAAATTGAAATGATAAGGATTCAAAGATAGTATAAGTATGAGATTGAATAGTTGAGGATGACTTAAATGAATTAATTATTACTACTTATACTAACAACATGCATCTGTTTTTCGGTAGCTTATCTCATCAAAACTTCACAGTTAAGCGTGCTTGACTTGGAGTAATATAAGGATGAGTGACCTTCTGAGAAGTTTCCAGAAATTGTGTAATTAAGGACAGAACATGCTAAAAGGTTAAGTATTGTGAAATAAAATCCTTGAGAGGCCAAATATGAGTGGTTTATAGTTACCAAATTTGTGACGTCTATAAAATTCTATAAAATAAAAAATAAATATTTTGCGACCGATTTAGCGAACGATTTATTCGGTCACTAATTTGGTCTCATACATTTCAGCGACCAAAATCATTGCAACAATTTTTGCGACAGAAATTTTCAGTCGCTAAATAGCGACCGAAAATTTTTCCGTCGCTAAATAGCTTAGCGACCATGGTTTTAGTGACTAATGAAATTCGATCGCTAATTTCGTCGTTAAGGTAAATAGCGACCGATTTTAGTAATTTAGAGACCGATTTTGGTGGTCGCTAAATTGCATATTTTTTTGTATATATTGTATGAAATTAATGCCTAGGAAGCAATTGTGTAAACCACCTTTACCTAGTCACCTGATCATAATTTATTGTTGGTTTGAATATTTGGTGATATACTTATATCTTAGCATGTGCAAGACACAAATTAAATGTTTTTCCAACATAAATTTTTAGAGATTTTTAATATTTGTAACTACTAATTAATAATATTTTTAATGAATATATCTAATTATTTTAGAATTAGTGTATGTTCATTCGTTATATTCTGATTATTTCAAGAATTGTAAAAAAAAATTTGTGCCTCCACTTTCAAAATGGCTTCCATTTTATTCTTGTGTTAACAATGAAAGAGTTTATATACGGTTAACGAGAATATTGGACCCTTTTAAGGAGTGACTAAAAAACATCATTTTATTTCCATATTTTGCATTGAGACATATTTTCAAAATAAATTTGTAATAAGTATAATGTTGTCTTGAAATTTTGGAATGACAGGTAAATAGTAACAAAAATTTACGAAAACACAAATAATTAAAAGGGATTCAAAGGGTTAAATCAATGATTATGTCACATAATAACTCTTTATTGATCATTGTCGCCACCGGCCCAAACGGGCCTCGGCGGTCGCGAAGACGGTCGAGCTCGCTTTTATTTTAGTTTTGAAAATGTATTGGATTATTAGAACGATTTGTTCTCAAACTGAGACCTTGTCGATCTTATCCAATTTATTTATTAAATGTCTCACCAATCCATGTTAATCCCAAGCGGGACCCTCCATGGATTAGTGGTTTTCGTAGTAAAAGGGTTCATGGAGTCGCCACCAATGTTTTACTCAAAACATTGGAAAAAGGGATAAGGCAATTGATTTTATAAATCAACTTTGGCCATTACAACCAGAGTTGGGTAAGGGAGTCGGTTACGCGTGGGGAAGGTGTTAGCACCCCACAGCGCCCCTTTCGGGTTCCCTATGACAGATTATTTCTAAAATAACAGTGTAAAATTACTAAATTACCCCTATTTATTCTAAGCGATTATAAATTAACTATCTACATGATGACAGTTTAAATATGCACACAGAAAGCAGTAAAAGGAAGGATTTAAGAAGAAACCTCTTGAAGCGTGCTTTTATATATTGAGTAAAACTGGGAAGCTTTTTGGCGTTCCCTCGCTCTACAAGCTCGCTCGCTCCTTCCTAAAAACTTTTAACTATGGAAATCCGGAGGATTTCCCTTCGACTAGGTTCGATCCTCAAGCAAAATGGCTCGGGGCTCAAGAACTTCGTCGGATCAACTCTCCGAGTGATTTCTAGGGCAGAACACTGCTCAAAAACCCCAGAATACTCAAGGAGAGGGTTAAAACTAAGTGAAAAAGTGTGGAATGACGTCCAATTGACGTCATATTTATAGGGAATAGGCGCAATACGGGCTACAGAATCAATACGGCCGTATTGAAATTTTTGAACTTCAATACGGTCGTATTGAAGTTCAATACGGCCGTATTGAAATTCAGAAATTTCAATGCGCCCGTATTGAGTTCACTGCGGCTGTATTGAAGCTTCAATACGGCCGTATTGATTTCAGTACGGCCGTATTGAAGTTTCAGAAACTTCAATACGCCGTATTGAGTTCACTGCGGCCGTATTGAAGCTTCAATACGGCCGTATTAAGTTTAGTACGGCCGTATTGGGCTTCATTCCCTCCACTTCCTTATTTTAAGCTACTCTAAGACCTCTAAATCTACAGATAGCCATCCTATGGTCTTCTAGGAGTCCTTCTGGCTGACTTTCCTTCGATCTTTGAGGGTCTTCGAGTTTTATTTCCGACCCGGACAATTTTAGGGGTCTACAATCATTTTTGTGATTATTAACTCTTATGAGTCTGTTGACAATTTGAAAAAAAGGAATACATCACATTGGTCAGAGGATGTCAAACATCTGAATAGTCAAAAACATAAATAAAAAACAAGTAAAAAGTTAATTAGCACAATTATAGAGATTAACAACTTATAAAACATTTAAAATAGACAAATGTTGTAAAAAAATTATTATTGTTGTCGTCACTAGTCTTGGTAAAGCCATAGTGCGTAACTTGATCGTAAATTGCAATGACAAATGATTTATCTCATTTTGCATCACAATCATTAGCACAATGTCAATAAATTAGAGGAGTATTTAGATAAACTACACAATGAAAGGCATAATTCACCTTACGCATGATTTAACTAGAACTGGTTTTTCACTCAACTTTTACTAATGGAGGAGTATAATTCGCTTGTGAAATACCCAATATAA